CTAAATCTACATGTAGAGGCCTACCAACTGCGTTTCCTAGAGAGAACACAAACTCCCTGCCAAATAAATTAGGGGGCAGATCTAAGAACGAGATCCACGCAATGGCTATAGGTATCTCTTCTTCTTGCTTCCACCATGGGTTCCATTTGGTGCATCGTATCTGTCATGAGTCCCCTTGTACCTTCAAGTAAAAGGCACGCTTGGATAGCAGATGAATATAATCTTCCATCAATGACAGTTTAATAAGGACGTATATGTCTTAAATCAATCAAATCGAGCATGGCCCTTTCAACTCACATTGGATGGGAATTATCTTCCTCAACTCTTAAATCACAGGCTTTCCATACGAGAACTTGCCAAGTACTGCTAACTGTTATCCCTGTTGAGCAATGGACTATTTTACTTCAATCTTCTTCCATTGAATAATAGGCTCGCCATGTAAAAATTCTACACGTTTTGGGTTTACATGGGTAACTTACATGGGAGCATTTAATACTTAAGGTTTTAGGAGATTTGCGTAGTTTGGGATTGTAGTAGGGTTTATGGATGTTGGAAGGGGTTGTGTGATGTTGAGAGACGAGTGACCAACCTTCGTAGGAGGCTGGCCAGTGGTCGGAGTGGCCATGGAAGTAGCAAGATCAGAGTAGCCGCAAGTCTCCCGTAATCGTCGGAGCTAGGTCAAGCCGCATTTTTAGTCATGATACCTATCAACCTTCCAAAATTTCAACTATCAAACTTTTACCAATTCAAGCAAAAACAACCTAGGAGCCTCCAAATACACATCCGGACACATGCCTAAGTCCAAAATTACCATCTGAACCTAACATAATCATCAAAACTTAGATCTGAGATCAAATACGCAAAAGTCAAAGTTGGTCAATTCTTCCAACTCAGCTTCTAAAATGAGAATCATTTTTCCAAATCAATCCCGAAGCACTCAAAAAGCAAAACTGACCATACACGCAAGTCATACTACATAATCAGAAGCTAATCGCATCCTAGAAACTCCAAACAAAAATGAAAATGATCAAAATGACCGATCGGGTCATTACAAAGCTTTGAAAAGTTCATAAGTTTGATCAGAAGTTGACTTTGATTATATCGGATTTGGACTGTTGTTTCGAGACTTGGAATAGGTTCGTTTTGTCATTTGGAACTTGTGTGCAAAGTTTGGATATAATCCGGATTGGTTAGCATTGAATCAGATGCTTGGTTTGAAGTTTGGAGGTTCTTGAACTTAAGAGTTATGCAACTTGAGTTTTGATATGTGGTTTGTGATTTTGGATGCTGTTGTGATGGTTTAAGCCTTGAAATAAGTTTGTATTAGATATTCGGACTAGTTGGTTGATTGGATGGGGTCCCAAAGGGCTTGGGTGTCTTTCGGATGGATTCCAGACCATTTTGATATTTTTTGGCAGGTCTGGTGCTAGTGCATCGCACCTGCGGAAGTGTGGTGCACAGGTTCAAAATCGCACATGCGAGAAGTGGTTTTGCAGATGCGAAGAGGAGTCTAGATGGGCAGTGGTCGCTTTTGCGAAGCATTTGGCGTTTCTGCGATGGTCGCTTTTACGGGGGTGGTTCGCAGATGCGGACTTCGCATTTGTGAAAGGTGTTTCGCACCTGCAAGGAATGGTCAGCTGAGTGGAGGTCACAAATGCACAATTTTGGACCGCATATGAAGGCTCACAGATGTAAGGTTTTTGTCCCCGGATGCGAAAATCGCTGGGCAGACTTATATTTCGAAGGTATAGCTCATTTTTCATTATTTGGAGTTTTGGAGTTTGGCTAGAGGTAATTTTGAGGGAGATTTTCATCACGACTTTGAGGGTAAGTATTTTTTATTTGGATTTGATTATGTATATATATTCCCCATAGATTTTTGCACTTGGAACATGTATTTAAAAGAGAAAAATTGGGGGTTTTGCCTACAACTTAAGAGAATAAATTTTGGGAATTTGAGGGTTGATTTTGACTTGATTTTGGAATCTAATAATATATTCGGACTCATAGAGTTATGAGTATTTGGGAGCTACCCCTTAACTCGTGTTTTGACCATATGTGCCCGAGTTGACTTTTGTTGACTTTTTAAAATTGTGTAAAGATTAAAGCTTAATTGTTTAGAATTGATTTCCTATATCTTTATTTGACGTTATTGAGTTGTTTTGGCTAGACTCGAGCCGTTCGAAGGCGGATTTGCGAGGGAAGGCTATTTTAGAGTGTTGATTTTTCTTATTTGAAGTAAGTATCTTGACTAGCCTTGGTTTGAGGGACTAGTTACTTGAATTGTTAATGATGACTACGTGTCGAGGGTGACGCACATGCAGGGGATAAGTATGTGTGTGCGCACCAAGTTTTATCCATATTCGAGGTAGTCCTTAGGTCGTGTTATGACTTGTAATAGATACTATGCTTCTTTCTATCATGCTTCATATTTTTGTACCCCTTCCTCAGCTACTTGAATCATGCTAGAGATTATGTGTAGGTTAATTTCTTGTTCAAACATGATAATTTTTATTTTCAGGCATATCTGCCTAATCTAAACTGTGGTAGCACACTTCGCACGTGTATACACCATAGCATGTTACTTTTATCAGTCCAAGAGTATGTGATTTATTATCTATTATTCGTATACATGTATTCTTGTATATGTTTTCTGTGTGATATAGACTTGATTGGCAGCACATGAGTGATCCTTGCGGGTTGAGTTATGATAGCACGTGAGTGGTCCTTGTGGTTGTTATACTATGGCATGTGAGTTGTCCATGCAACATGTGGATAAGGATCCATCCCTCTAGGGTCGTTTTCGCGCCTCCTTTTCTCGCGAAAGTAGGTTTTGACATGTGACAACTCTTTTAAATAGGTATTAAAAGAGAAGAATCGTCACCTAAGGATTTTTAAGATACGTTAGGACACCTATTTGCAAATAACTCTGTTTTGACTAGTCTGTATTACCAAAGATCGGGTATGGGCTCAAATTACCTCAAAGAGAGAGTGTTAGGCATTCTTCAAGGTCCACAAATGTGATTCCCATCCGAATTTTAAACAATGTGGGATTTATCGGATTGTAAATAGTTATTCAAAGTGAGCATGCAAATCAAGGGAGTAAAGAGTAGTTGGTCACTCAAGATAGGATGAAGTAATTATTTGAAGAAATCATACACAAGTAAAGGAGATAATTTGAAGGAACATAATTCATTCATTAATAAACTAAGTGGTACAACTCTTGGGGGTTACAAGATATAGCTTAGTCAAGTCTAAATTTCTAAGCAAACAGATATACAAGGAACTATTAGACATAATGT